CCCAAGCACGGCGGCGTATTGCCTAGGGCACAAGCGCTGGCGTCTCTCGGGTGCAAGAGGAAACTTGTCTCCGGGGTGGAGCGTCCCGGGCGCGGGGGCTGAGCCCTGGGCCAGGCTGGCTGGCAGAAAACCAGCTTGACTGGAGCCTGCCGCATCAAAGGGGAATCCTCCCCAGCCCTGCACCCCTGGCTGTGGGGGGGACGCAGCCCCCGGTGCACCACGCCGGACCCCACAGCCCTCTCCCCGGGCAGGGGAGGCGATGGGATTCCCCTGGCAACCCTGGGCCGTGGGTCTCTGCATGCAGGGCCGGATCCTGCTGCTCCCACTCACCCTATTGCATGAGCAAGAAGAGAGCAGGGCCCCTCTCCAGCTGCAGGATGGGGGCTGGGGGGCGATGCTGCGGGGAGAGCCGGGCTCCACCCAAGGGCTCTGACCAGTCCTGGGCCTGGGAGCTGCACCCAGAGTTGTTCTGTGTCTGACTCAGCCCGTGGAGGGATTTATTGGAGAGAACTTCCTGCATCAGCCGGGGAGGCAGGGAGGGCCCGGGCACCTGCCAGGCCTTCCCCAGCTCCGCCGCGGGGCTCTGCGGTGGGTGCCAGGGCTGGGCAGGGGGGTGAATTGCGCTGGGCAGACTGCTGCCCTTGCCCCAGCCTGGAAATCGGGTCCCACCATCCCTCGGATGGGCAAGTACCCCGGGGTGCGGGGGAAGGAGGCTGCTTCCTGGCCTGTGACGGCTCTGACGGGTCCTGGGTTCGGTCGGTCAAGCTGGACGGTCCTTGCAGCCTGGAGCTGAGGTGCCACCCGGCTGTGAGCAAGGAGGGCTGAGATGCCACCAGCTCTACGCCTCCTGGGCCAAATGCCTCCCCCCCCTGGGAGGGAGTGTAGGGGCAGGGCCTGGGAGCCAGGATGCCCATGGCCCACCTCCGCAGGCCTTTGCACTGTGACCGGCGCTGGTTGTGGCTCTGGCTCCTGGAAGGAGGATGCAGCAGCTCTGGCCTCACTGCTTGCTTCCTCCCCATCTCTGCAGGAGCTGGGGTCTTGGCCCTGCCTATGGTGGAGGGGTTGGGGAAGGGACCAGATACCTGTCCCGGTGCAGAGCCCAGGCATGTGCCTCCAGAAGCAGTCTGAGGGCAGGTGATGTGCCCAAGGTGCCATGGGGCATCGGTGGCGGAGGCAGTGTGCATTGCTTGGGCCCCTGCAGTTAAGATCTCCCCGGTGCCCACCTGGGTGCCGGGCAGTGCCGGCGTGCGACGCCCGGCCCGCTCTGCCACCCCAGCACTCTGGGGGTGCCTGTGGGAGGCAAAGGGCCGTGCTTTGTCCCAGAGCTGACGCCAGCTTTCTCCCCGCCTGCCATGGCGTCACTGCTCCCTCCCACGTCGGGCGGCTGTGTCTCGTCTTGTCCATGTCTCGTCTCGCCGGGGCCGTGCTGCTGTCTGCCCAGGGGCTCTGCGATGCATCCTGGAGGAGTGACAGCCGGGCGTCCCAGGGGAGCCCTCGAGATCGCTTCCCCCACGCTTCATCTGGCAGCCGTGGCTCCTGGCAGCCTGGGACGCATGGTCCTGCCTGGTGGTAGCAAGGGCCTGGTGATGAGCACCCGGGGCCAGGGCCCAGAGTGGGGGGAAAGCTGGGCTCTGTTCTCTGCCACTGACACCCCAGGTGGCCTCGGGCAAGTCACTTAGCTTCAGTAGGAAACTGGGACTAACAAGGCTTTGCTGAGTGTCCGTACAGCTTGCGGGGCTGGCTGTCCCGGGCAGGGATGCTGCTGTCTAGGGAGGGTCGGGGGAGCAGGCTGGCATCGGGGGCCTGGGCGTGCCAGGCAGGGCTCTCTGCAACTCGCTCCACTTCCTTGCAGGCACGGGCCCCCGGGGAGGCTCCTGCTCTTGGCCTGGCTGAGCTTCGGCTGTGCACGCATCAGCAGCGCTCAGGTAAGTCAAGGCAAAGCGGCCGTGGGGGCAGAGGCCGGAGCCTGCCCCAGAGCCTAGCGGGGGCTGGTCACAGTGGTCGCAGGGTCAGGACTCGGGGCCTGGCCTGGGAGGCTCTGACCTTCTTGCTTGGGACCCGGGGCATTTCCCCACGAGCGGGGCATTGACTCCAGGCCGGAAGCACGAGGGGGCCTGGTCCATCCGGACGGCTGGGCGGTTGTCACGCTAGGAGCCCGCGGTGTCCTGGCGAGCTGGTGGGTGGATAGCTCGCTAGTAATCCTCCGTGATCTCCCCCTCCCTTGGCCTCGCATCCTGGCAAAGGATGTGGCAACAACTGTGGAGGGGATTTCGGGAGGTCGGAGACAAATGCCTCCAGCTGGACCCTGGCCAGGAGCCGGGGCTGGACGTGTCCCCTGCTACGAGCCCCTGGGTCCCGGCCTGGCTCCAGCGCTGCCTGGTCCCGTCACACAGGAAATAGCCTCTTCTGCCTGGTTTATTCCTCCCTAGAACCGGCCTCCCCTTGCAGCTGCTTGGGGTGGGGGGGCAGAGGGGATTGCACCCCCTGCTTTGTGGGGGTGGCTGGGCACCAGCTCCAAGTGGGGAGCCCTGCCAGCTCCGTCCGGCTGCTGGTGTTTACTCCCAGCTCTTTAATCCCCACATCTGCAGAGCCCTGGGAGGCGCAGGCTGGTGCCCGAGGGCTTGTTCTGCAGCTGGATGCCCCCCTACATCCTGGGCCCCCCCACAGCTGGGGACCTGGGAGCTCTCCGGGGGGCTGAGCTCCCTGGGGCTGGCGCAGAGCAGGGGAGAGCGAGGCCCAGGCTTCCCGGGGGCAAACTGGGCAAGGTACCCAGGAGTCCGGGCTCCTGCTTTGCCCCGTTCCCCTCCCGGCCGGCTGCACACAACTGCGTCCCTGGCCCCGGGGATGCACCGCCTCCCCCCAGCGCCGCGCCAGGCCGCCCCCACGCCCTGGGAGCGTGCCCATCTAGATCTGGCGCTCCCCTTCCAGCTCCTCTGTCTCCCCAAACTTCCCCCCTGCAACACCCCACCCCTCCCACCATGGCTGGGCATGGGAAAGGGCCTGGGGGGGAAGCGGGGGGCACCCCAGAGCTGATCTGGCCT